ATAGTGGGACTGACCGTCACATTATAACGCCCCCACGGCAGAAAGGGCGAGCATGTTTGGTGTGACGGGGACTCGAACCCGCGACCTGCAGATTACGAGTTGAGCGCCCTAACCACCAGGCCAGGCCTATACTTAATCTGCAAGATTGTAAACGTGTAAACATGGAGTAGTGAAGCTGTCTGTATATAAATCAAATGATTATGACTGGATTATATACGGCATGTTGCATCTTCCTTGAGCTGGGATTTCGTGCACTGTTGCAGTATAATTCCCCTCTCTTTGAAATGCAAAATACCAGCTTTGGGAAGCAGTTTAATGTTTCGATTTCTTCTCAGTTAAACAGCGTGCTTTATTCTTATGTCTGTATTTAGTTCAGTTGTTTTTCTTTTCATCTTTTAATCTTAACTTTCAGTGATTTAATTTTTTGTTGTTGTTGTTGAATAGTTGTACTGCTTTGTTTCAATAGAGTATTTAATCCGAATGTTTCCATTATTTTGTCTCCTGTTTCCCCTATGTTTGGTAAATAAAGAATTTTGTATTTCGAACTGTACTTGTGCTTGCTTGTTTTCCTCTACTGTCCGTGTTCAGTTGATTCTTCACTTAACAGTCCTGAACCTGCTTTCTCAGGGAACTTTTGTTTTTCTGCTGGATATCAGTGGACCTGAATATCACAAGTGTTAAAATAATACTTTCACAGCTGCGTGGGTGGGGGCCACACCTGTTGATCATAATATATATATATATATATAACATTCAAGGTCATTTTCTTCGTCATTGGCTGAGTAATTTAGATTTTGACTGTGCATGATTCTTTCAATTAAGTTCCCTGTTTTGTTTTGTTAGTTGTTAAGCGCGATGCTGTACTATGGTTATCTCTATTCTACCCAACACAGGTATCAAAACCCGATGTTTAACATAGCAAGTCTGTAGACTTACTGCTGAGCCATCGAGGGACTAGTTTCCTTGTAAGTCTCTCCACTAAATAATTTCAAAGTTTCTGTAATGAATGACATTAAGATGCAGTTTTTAAATTAATATAATTTAAACAATAACAAAATTGTTATTTAAATCGGCTTTACAGGTGGCGCTACATTTTATTTGTGCTAACAACAACTACTTGTTTTTATCACTGTCTGCGCCATGGCTGTAACAGTTGACATAGGCTTATAGATATAGATAAAAATGTCTAAAACAACAAGCGTTAAATCTACCCAGTTAGAAATGAAATTAATTCAATCTGATGTGACTGGTAACAAAGCGAAGGAGTGTACCAGGTAATTATAGTGATATGTAGCATGATTTTTACCGTAAAATATAACTGTATATCTATTTCAAATAAAACCAAAGTTATAAATTAAGTCAAATAATTCATAAGTGACATAACTCACCAGTCACGTTGCACAAGTGAAATAAGTTTGAATCACACTGCATAGTATCATCATAAGAATATTACTGTATCATCATTACATTCTTTTTTTTTTTTTTTACTTTTAGTATTTAATATACTAATTATTTAGAGGATAGGACGACCTAGTACTACTACTACTACTACTACTACTAGTAGTAGTAAATGGACTAAAAGTAAAACTAAAGTAAAGTAAAATATTTATTTTTAATGTGTGTTATATTATAAATATGGATATGATTTACAGTGACAGCTAACATTAGTCATTACTGTTAGCCTGACAAAACAAAGGTTTTGACTAATACTAATAATAGTAATATAAATACCAGAAACAATGCTAGGCTATAACACTATAACTATAAAGTATAATTTAAGTTTGACAACAGTTTTATTTTTCTTTATTACTGGAAACATCAGTATTACTTTAATTTTGTCTACATTAGTAACATGGATAAATTGATAGCTTTAAATTAGTTTAAGTTTTAACTCAGTTTTAGGCTTTAATATGTAAACCGTAAAGAGTGGTTCAATTATTAATATTAATATATTACTTATCTTGTCAGACATGACTTATGGCTAGATATATATATTATAAATAACCATGTGAAATTAACTTGCTTCTGTTATTTTCTACAGATGAAAAGTAATATAAAGTTTTGGGGTATTTGATTAATCAATTTTTATAAAATATTGATGTAATTTGAATATGACTATGAGTATTGACAAACCTCGACTTGTAAAGTAACATTTAGTAGATGTTAGTATATACCTGTCAACACTGAGAGGTGCCAAATAGGGAGACTTTTTGTGGAGGCACTGCAACAGCGAGTAGCATTTCCTGGGGGTGTCATGCTCCCCCAGAACATTTAGAAAAAAAAGGTGCACTTTTATGCATTCTGGGGAACTTCATACATTTATAAGTTTGAAATGATGTTTTCAGTCACAGTGGGGTTACATACTAATATAATCACAGTCATCTGCTAATATTGTTATGCACTTTTATTGTAAGAATTGAAAAATAAAAAACATACACATATCCTGATTAGTGCTCTCTGTTATATTTGTATGTTGCACTTTTAGCATCTTTCAATACCTGCTTGCTGGGCTTGTATTTACAGGCTAAGGAATCTGAGTTAAACTTCCAGTTTAAAAGGGCACATATTGTTTCATGCTCTAAATCAGTCCTGTTCTCTGATACGATCTTTCTCACCATTGAAAATGCCCTTTCACTCTATGTACTGGAATGTGGTACAACAAGCAGACACTATAACACAACAAAGTATAACAATGTCACACAGTAAATATTTACTTTATCCTGATTGGCACTCTGTGAAGTTGAATTTTGTGACTCTATACTTTTTGTTAAATTATTAAAAAGGTTGATATTGGGAGATCCTGATCGCATGTTGGGAGATCAGGAAATAGGACTCTATATTGGGAAACTCCCTCTGAAACTGGGAAAGTTGACAGGCCTGTGAGTATTTCAAATAAACATTCAGCAGAAAATAGCCACTCATTTTTAATTTGGCTGAGTAGAAGTCGTCTGCAAATTAGGCACTTTTAATTTCCCAATAGGATAGTTGGCCATTGGAACAGGTTGCCTAGAAATATGGTAGATGCAACAGGATTGGGAAAATTCAAGAGAGTGCTCGATGAGTACTTGTGGAGTCAGAGTTGGATATTGGGTCAGATGGGTGTTGAAATGAATGGGATAGTCATGATGAGTCAGAGTGTTCTTTGTTCACTTCCAAATGCTGTATGTTAGTATGCAGCATACTTCAAATAAGCTGACAAATCTGTCTCTTACCAATAGTTTGAAAGCAAAGATGTTGAACACAGAGCCACCTAAATTTTTTATGGAAAACTGTTTGAATTTTGTGATACATAAATAACAATTATTTCTCTAAACATAATTGTAATGTCCAACAATTATAGTATTGATATTTTCTTTTATTGTGTGTACCCTCTAATAAGTTTAATTTGATGCAAAATACAGTGAAAATATTTCCATATTGATAGTGTAACTTTTAATGAAAATTAATGCATGCATAATTATATGTATCATGCAGTTATCAGATGTTTATCTGGATTAGTGAAGATGAATTGATTATATTTACTGTTTTATCCACACACACACACACACATATATGACTTTAATAAAAATATTTTGAAAAACTATTTATTTATTACTGTTAATTTAAAAGAAATAAAACTACAAATACATAAAAGCATAAACATACCAGTTTCATATTATCCAGCATACTCTTCAGTTTCTACAATAAAGCTTTCTTGAACAAGACCTACTTAACAATGTAAAACTTCCCACATTTTGTACCTTAAAGCTTTATGTATGTTTTAAACTCCCTCTGTATGTTAAACTATGTAACATGTTCTGTGGTTTTAAATTTATTAATAATATAATTTTCATAAAATAATCTTTTATTCTTTACACAAGTATACCAAAATGGAAATATGTAAAAAAAAAAGGTTCTTCTAAAGTATGATATTTTTCCATAATACATATATTAATGTGTTTGTTAACAGGTAATGGGTTATGATTTACATTCCTAACATGAGATTTGTGTAAATTTATTCACAAATGTAAATTTTCTGTTTCTCAAATATATATTTGCTTACAGCAAATACGAGATAAAACATAGATAACATTATGTGAATTACAACAAAATCTAGAGTTTAAAAAAACTACTTTCTCCCCAATAGGGCCTGTAATATATTTAGTGTATGTAATATAATATAATATTATTATCCACAAATATAACAATCTGGTTTATTGCAGGGAAAAAAAACCTTCATCAGATTTCTTTACTTCTCTGATTTAAGATAGCATATAAATTATTAGGTTGTCTTTGTGATATGATTTTTTTATTTTCAAAGAATGCAGGAAGTTTTAAATTTTTAAGTAGGTCTTGTTCGAGAGAGCTGTATAGTAGAAACTGAAGAGTATCCTGTCTGATACAAAACTGGTATTTTATGTATTTGTGGTTTTCTTTCTTTCTTTTAAGTCAACTGTAATAAGTAAACAGTTTTTAAATATTTTTTAATTCATTTTTAAACTTAAAATAAGACCCAAAACTCGAGCGCTTTAGAATAGTCAAATATTCGATAGCGCTCGAGTTTTGGGTGATATTTTAAGTTTATTACACTTTATATGTGTTCCTTTGTGCTAACTCTTTTATCAAGTTTAATTCATTTTTATATTGTCTTGTTTTTATTAATCACTCATTCAGCAAAATTCTCTTGTTTCCTTTTGTGTATATATATATATATTAAACTTTGTGTTTTTAAGACATTTTGAAGGGATTGAAAGTGCAAGAGTTAGCTTAAGCAGTGATGAAGGTTTTGAAGCTGAAGAAGATGACTCGCTTCTAGAACCACAGTACGCAGAAGGAAGAAAGAAGAGAGGAGCATTGAGATGCTTTTGTTGTATCTGTAATTGTTTCTGTTTTTGGATTGAGAGGTATTTGAAAATATTCATGTGATAGGTAGAGAGAAGAGAGGTGTTGATTTAGCTTTTTTTTTATATTTATAATACTGTTATGTCTCTGTTCGTTTGTTAGTTTTCTGTAGAAGTTCTTTCCCAGAAACTTCAGTGATACAAGTCCTTTCTTAAATAAAACTAGTTTATTCTTTCTCAATACAACTTTGAAATACACTTAATTTCCACAATCAGTTTAACATAAACACACGCTATAATTCACAACAAACAATTCACGCAGTTTACTTACTACTGCACTTGACTCACTTGTCCATCTCTATCTCTGCCTGTCTGCCATTCCATTCCGATTAATTGTCTGGCGCACTTATATACAAGAATAGAGGGTGCCTAGCAAATACTGGATTATTCGCGATGTTCCCCGATCTTTCTAGAACTCATTATGTGTTACCAGCGTCAAGTGACTTCCGCTGTCGTAATAATACATTTAAAGTTACTAATATACATAAAGGATATCACAGTATCTATTTTGATTCTAAGATTGTAGAAAATAATAAGGATCTGGGTGTGATGAATAATAAAAGCTTGAAAACTTTGGCTGAATGTTTGGAAATGGTGAAAAGAGCAAATATGGTTCATAATTCAAGGGTCTTGGCTTTGATTCCATTTGCCACAAAACTTTCTAGCCCTGTCTTTGTTATGGCAAAGCTACTAAAGCTATAAGGCACCGTCACTAATTTGTAAGTGCTGACTAGATGAAAGACAATTGGCTGGCAGCACCCACTGCCAACTCTAGCTACTTAAGTGTTAAATAAAGTGTAATCTTACACCCATTTTGTTTCCAGAAATTTATTTTTTCTTTTACGTAATATAATCAGATGCAGATGTAAGAGAGAGAATTTTGGGAATCCAGGCCACATCCAGTTTTTCTAAATGTTAATAACTGTATTCTTAAGTATTGTATAAGAAGGAGTGGATCTAGGTGAAGGGTCCAGGGGTCTGAACTCTCTACCCCCATTTTTACCAGAAATTAATAACTGTATTCTTTAATGTTGTATAAGCATGCACAGATCTATGGAGGATCTTGACACCCCCTGCTCCAATTTTTTCAAAAATTAATAAAAAATAACCAATATCCTTCCACTACCATATAGTATCAGAATGAAGCACTAAATGTCAGTGTTTTTATTTGATTGGTTATTAATTATCAGAAAAGCTTTTCTGGCATTTTCTGAAACAAACATAACTGGACTCTAAAGCAATCCACTCAGTGCCTCAGCCAATAATTGGCTATTTCTAAGCTAACACAACAATATTATTTTCAATTAAATGTTGCCATGGTAAATTATTGTACCTTGATGTTTTTCTAGACATTCCTAACAAAGTAGTAGACTTTATATATATATATATATTTTTGTTTTTTTTAACAAAGACTTGTTACAAAATCAGTTTGTCATTGTGTAGAAGTTATAGTTCTCCTGAGAATATGTTTCATATTGTGGATGTCCAAAATAAGTGAAAATACAAATGGTGTAGTTGCATAAGTAATGACTTTTAAGGAATTTTTTTTAAAACAGTCGTCCTGTTTATGAACAAAAGCTGTAAGTTTTTTAAAAATTTGATCATAAGTAAATAATTTAACAGTGCCGATATATTAGTAGGCCGTTGGCCTGGCATCAATATAAGGAAAAACATTTTTGTTTTTTACCTGATAACGTACACCAAGATTTTTGCTTGTTTTCTCATAGAATGTTGTGGTATTTATTCTTATAGTGGCCAAAGAAACCATTGTTATGCAACTCTCACCTTAGCCACGTAGCATTCTATAAGGCCATTAGTTTTAATGTTATCAAGTATTCTGAATACTGATCTTTATAATAGTAGATTTGTTAAGATAGTACAGTAATGTTTTTGTGTTAGTTTCTGAAAATTATAAGCATTTGGATGCTATGCTAATTTGAAGAAACTCTTCAATAATAAGATTATTTTTTCCAAAAAACACCAAATTTTATTTGTTTATAATTCATGGTAAAATAGATGTGAATCATACTAGACTTGACTTCAAGTCTGTGATACATCTGTCCACAAAACACATGCCATGACTGCCAAAGCTGCATCATTATGCTGGACTTATCTCTTCCATACTAGTGTTGTGTTTTGAAGTGGAAAGGCTCTGTTTCTCTCCAAAGAGGCAAAGTTGTTAGGCCAAAGTTTGTAAAATGTATAGTTTTACACTGACTCTTTTGTGTGAAGTTAATAACTATGTTTATATGTATAGTTTTTACTATAAATTAATGAAAGTTACAGTTGCATGTCAAAAGTTAATACATGTGTGTCTGTGTTTTTATTTTGACACTTCTAGAAGCACTAACACAAAAGTATATTTTTAAGCTTTTTTTTACCATTATTCTTTTTTTATTTATTTTCTGAACTAAATGTACCAAATAAAAATATTCGTGAATTTTTGTTATAGATGCAACCAGAAACAAATCACCTGTAGGTTAAATTTTAATTTGTTTCAGTAGTTTAAAGTACATTTCCTGCACTAATACTACGTATTGGTATTGATTAATATAGTTGGATAATCATCAGCTATCAGTATTGGCCAAGAAAATTTTAATCAGTGTACCCCTAGTAATTATAACTATCTAATTTGAATTTAAATTTTATATGTTTGGTTTTAACTGTTTTTATTTTTACATTTCTAGAAATAAAGATATGAGCATTGAAATCGTTAGATAATGACTTGATTGAGCTAATAAATTACAGAATATATTAACATTTCTTTAACTTTGACTTATTTAGGTTACTTTAGGACTGTATGGTCGACACTGATTAATCCAAAATACTTTATTATAATAGTGAAAGATTCTTTTTTTCATATATAAAAAAAATACTGAAAATTTGGCTTTAGTGTTCCATTGTTTTAAAAACGTTAATTGGTATCATACCACTATTGTGAAAATGAAGCATTGCTACAACTAACATGGAGAAGTTAAACATGTTAACATAATAATAGTGTATTACCTTAATGATCTTTATGGTTTTATTCTTATTCATTCCTTAATGGTTTTTGAACATTATAAGATAAAGTAATAATTATTTTATTATTTAAAAAAATAAATTGAAGGTAATATAATTTTCAATTTTTTTTTATGTTTGACTTTAAATTTAGCCTACTTGAAGACTATCCAAAAATACTAAGTTTTTACTTTGGCTAAGTATGGATTTGCCTAATAGATCAAATGAGGTATGATTGTTCATTACCCGTAGTTGGTTACAAAGCATTTGAGTTACTGTGTAGTTACCAAAACAACACCTAAGGCTTCAACAGTGTCATAAACACAAAACATGTAAAACAATACTTAATTGTCTGGAATAACAAGTCTGGAAAAGTGTTAAACTGTGGTTGAATCCTTGTTATGGTGCCACATCATGTGGTGTGATCATTTACTAAAACAGCTATAAGAAAGTTTAAATATGATTTGATAAGAGCAAGAATTAGATTCATGTCATAGTAAAGTAAGTGTATAGGTTGAATTATTTTTTATAGTTTCTATAAATGTTCCATTCATTTGTGAATTTAGAAGTTCTGTGTGTTAAATTATATCCATTTGAAAGCTACAGAAATTTTCTTCAATGACAAGATGTCAGATTAAGTTAAGCTTATACAATTTAGAGATAGGTTAAATGGGTAACAAAGAAAGCCGTGTTACAATTTTACATTTTGGATAATGTTTTTGTCATCATCAGGTTTAAGTGGTTTTCCTATACGCATGGATGCATATATACAGTACGAAGCAAAGAAGTCTCATAACTCTAGATTGCTTAAGGCTTAATAAAGATATTGTGTTGATGTTTGGTTTGTTTAAATATGGTGTTTTTACTTTTCAATAGATACACTATGGTTTTTATTGAGTAGGAAGGTTTGTTACCATGAGTTTTTTTATTTTGTTCACCATATAAAATAAAATCACTATAAAATGAAATAAATATGTTAAATTTATTGTTTATTGTGTGGTAGGCAGTTGCAAAATATTCTTATTCTATGCAAGCAACATTCATACATGCATAAATTGGCTAACTAGTTAATTAGTTATATCTAACTGCAATCATAATACATTTTAAATAACACCTCATTACCTTTATTGGTGATACAAAAACATTTTCATTATTTAATTATCAGCGTATTTGATTTACACAAGACCACTGGGGAATTATTACATATTGTTAAAACAAAATGGCTTCTGCTGAGTCATCTTTAGTCAACATTAGTGAATTATTTGATAACTAGGAAATGTCCAGATTGTCTTTAAAAAAAAAGTTAATGCTAAACTACTTTTCCTGGAAAAAAAAAGTTTTCCTAAATTGTCTATCATGTGAAATGAAGGGTAATTAAAAAAGGTTAAATTAGGAAGATAAAGACTATTTAAGGATATGTTAGGATAATGTAGTAATTCACAAATTTATGAAGCTTTTATACCTCTGTTATTTTGCTTGTTAGGGATGGGTTAACTAATCAATTAATGTTGATTAATTAATTAGCAAGAACCAGAAGTTCCCAGTTATAATCAGTTGCGCCCCCCAGTGGCACAGCGGTATGTCTGCGGACTTACAACGCTAGAATCCGGGTTTCGATACCCGTGGTGGGCAGAGCACAGATAGCCCATTGTGTAGCTTTGTGCTTAATTACAAACAAACAAATAATCAGTTGTATTATGATAGCAATATCTTTTAATTTGGAGGAATTATTTTAATTTTTTAGTTATCCCAAATTTTTTTCAAAATAACAAATTACTTTTTAATTATTTTTTTTATACTAATAAATTTCAGTTTTAGCTAATCCAGAAATATCAGTAGTCAGTCTTATCAGTTGGAACAATAAAATTTTCAGCAAAATACATAACAAACTTATCAGTACTACATACTATAATAAGTAACAATTCAAAGGACAAAAATATGTATTTTTCAAATCCTGGAACACTTTTCAAAAGTTCAAACACTGATTCACTTAAATAACAGTGTATTGTTTGTAGAAAGATGTGTTTTTGTATTACATCAGTTTCTATTTTTTTCTTCCAGGTGTTTTTTAGCCATGGCAAAAAAAATTTGTGGAGAACAAACACATAGACCTCGTACAGTTTTTATTGGTCGAACATCTAATGAAAAGTTTCCTGCAAACAAAACAAGAAATCAGAAGTATAACATTCTCACTTTTATTCCACTGGTCAGTTCCAGGTTTAGATTATATTAAATTTGTTACATAAGCTCTTTTTACTTACTTAGTGCCACAAAAAATATTGTAGTATTTCAAGACTTTGATAAACGAACAACTCTACATGCTTCATCACGTTGTGTTTCTTATTTGATATTGTGATGATGGTTATGTCTTTCTCAATCCACCTGTAAAAGTTAGCTTGTTACATATTTCTGAAGGTATTTAGGGCAGAAATATCATTTAACTGATAATTGAACATTATATGCTTGATTTTTTTAAATTCAATTTTTTTGTTGTGCAATAAAAGCAGAATTAGTTAATAATATCCAATAACGTAGGCTGGGAATCAAGAGTACATTTATATTTGTAATCCTTCTTTACTGTCCCTTCAGGTTTTATTCCATCAGTTCAAGTTCTTCTTGAATCTGTACTTTCTTGTGATGGCTTTATCACAGTTCATTCCTGATGTGAGGATTGGTTACCTCTACACATACTGGGGACCACTAGTGAGTATGCTTGTGTTTAACTACTCAGAATGACATTAAGCTTGAAAAGCATAGAATGCCAAGTTCTAAACCCACGATTAAAATCTACTTCAGAGAAAAAGATTAATTTCCTGTAAAATATGTTATTCTATATGATCTTTATGTCATATAAATGAAGAAATAAGAAAATCTAGTGACAACAAACAATTTCATGTTTGTTATCATATGATCAGTGTTTCACAGGTTAAAAACTTGTTAATTTTAAAGCATACTTGTATAATTAAGGATTTTAACATTTAAATAAAATTTTTCGTAATCTCTAACACTAACTTCTTTTAGTGGCTGTTGTCTCGGAGCTTAGTGTATCCGGAATACTATAACTTTTTGTTAAAAGGTACAAGTGTTTAATTTGAACAGAATTTCAAAATTCAAGTTTAATTTAATAAAACTAATATTTACTCATTGTTTTTAATAATTCTAATTCAAACCACATGTTCAGGCATTTTTGTAAGTTAATGATAAATATTTGTTTTTGTAAACATTCTTCATGAAACTCTGTAAAACTGTATTTGATAGTTATTGTTTTATTCAAAACTATACTATTGAATCATGTTAAGATAACACACACAGCCATTTTCTTTAGTGATTACTCAATTTAGATGAATGCTTTAGAAATATTTTAATACTTTATATTTATAAAACTAAAGGGGGTAGTTGTATTGAACTTGTTTGATTATTTTTTGAGGGCTTTGTACTGAGTGTTACATTAACCAGAGAAGCAATTGATGATTTTCGACGGTTCAGAAGGGATCGAGAAGTCAACTCTCAGAAATATAAAAAACTCACAAAACAAGGTGTACTACTCATCCCAAGCTCTGATATAAAAGTTTCTGATCTCTTAATTGTGGAAAAGGTAATTTTTTGTAGTTTATTCAAACTTGAATTTGTAATATTTTCAAGTGATATTTTTCAAGTAACCATTTTTGGGGAATGATTAATAGAATAGAACATTTCAGTGAGACAGGACTTGGTAATAAAGCCAGGTGTAATGAAGTAGCATTGTTCAGAGAAAAATAACATGTTATCAGAGAAAAGTAACATGTTACTTGTAATAGTACAAGATATTATAAATTGGTCATAAAACATGTTTATAAATCTTTCGTCTGAACACTAAATATTATTATTCCTGTTACCAAGATATCACAAAGACTTTTAAAGCCATTATGATTTGTATGTGTATAGTTTTAATAATATATATGTATATGTAGAAAATACAACCTAATTACTATTAACTAAAAGTTATCTATCACAAAACGTTTGGCTACACAATGTACTAATTTTGGTAATCAACTGTTTTAGGAGAAATATTTTTTTCTACTTTCTATTGTTTTATAAATATAAATTGTATGAATGTTATCTCTTAAACTAGTTACTTTTTTTAGTACTAACCACCTTTTGAATTGTAGTGTTTTTTGGTTTTATTTCACTACACATGTGTTACTGAAAGTGGAGGTTTGATTATGTTTAGAGCTCAAAAAATTAAAAATACAGATGTACCTATATGTGGTAACTATGCAGTAATTATGGTTTTTAAGAGCACCGAACATTTCATGTAGGAATATCCTGCACGTGTTGTACTTTTGAATGATAAATTAAAATGTATAAGATATATATCAGTGATGCACCTCAGTGGGACAAAGAAAAGTCGGAGGACTCACACCTCTAAAAACTGGGTTTTAATACTTGTGGTGGGCTTAACACAGATAGCCCATTGTGTAGCTTTGAGCTTAACAACAAATTTAAAAAAAAAGATTGTCAGTGACTATAACTCACGAATAGGCACCTTTATTCTCCTGTAACTTATCAAGAATTAATTTGATAATTTATGTTTAATTAAAATATAAATAGATTAAACTGTGTGCAAGAATTTGTTTTTCTTTTAAGGACCAGCGAGTTCCAGCAGATCTTGTATTCCTTAGAACTACTGAGAAGAATGGGGCTTGTTTTATTCGAACGGATCAGTTAGATGGAGAAACAGACTGGAAGCTTAGGCTAGCTGTTGGATCGACTCAAAGACTAATGACTACAGAAGTGAGTCCTGTAATTGTTAAGATTTGCTTTTGAAACTTGTTTAAGTGCACGGTTCAGGCGTAAACTGACTAGATCATATTATTGGGCATTTTTTGCATTACTGTGAAAAAGATTGAAACAAAGAATTCACGGATAGTGCAACCCGAAGATTAACACTTAAAGAGTATACTTGTAATTACTAGATATAAAATTATTCTCTCAAATGTAAATTTTTATTTGGGAATGTAGCCTGTTTAACTTGTAATACCATACATAATTGTATTGCCTTAACCCATTCATTGCAGCTGTGCCATTTATAGGATTTTGTTAACATCATGAGGAGTACTGTTGAGAAAAAACAAAAGATGATTGACTCATTATTTGGCAACAATGCTTGGGTGGATGGAGAGTGCCTCAACACTCATAAATACTCTTTATCAGTACACACAGGTAAGTTAAAAACGAAATCCCACGTACGGCACAGCCACAGTGTACAGAAGAAAAACGTCTGACCTGTATATGTGACAGCTGTAGTGAATGGGTTAAGCCTAATTAATCCTTTACGGGTGGAGCTTCAAAATTAAATCTTTTTGCTCTTTTGATACATGATCTATAAAAGTAATAACCATACAAAACTATAATGTTCAATCCCAACACTTTATAATAATTCTAAACTAATCAAAATTTGTTTTATTTGTTGGTACTTTATTCTATGGATAGAGCCTTATGGATGTGATGATTTGTTATCTCGGACTTTCACTAATTGCATTGAAGATGTAGTTGTACCTCTCCTTTGCGTTAATGTTTAAATGATCGGCATAATCCCTAACTTAAGCAGTTTAATGTAATTTTACTGAAAATATGTTTGATAAAGGTAGTTTTCACTAATATTTTACCAGCAACATTTTACTAGTGGCTATTTACTGTCAATTTTACAAGGCATGGTTATTACTTTTCAGATAAAATTTAGTTCATCAGCCATGTTTTCAATACACATCTGTATTATTATTATTTATTTACTTTTGTTTGTGGTATTTAGTTGTACACTGAGTAGTTTCCTTCAGACCACTATCTTAGACTTAGAGAAAGACGTGCCATAAAAAAAAAAAAGAGGTGAAGGTGAGAACAAAATGTTAATCTGTGTGTATATGTATCTTACTAGGAAGTACATATTTAAATTCATATAAATTGCACTTATTGCAAGCAAAATAAATAAATTCTTCACTGGCACGTTCTAAAGATTTTCATTTGTTTTCATGATAATGACTTTTTTGTGTGTGTGTGTAGTAAAAAAAAATTAATCTAATTGGTAAGTTACTAGATATCTGTAAACTAAGTAAAGTGATGGAATAGGATACAACTTAATTGTAGAATTATCAATAGTGTCCAGCTTTTTAAACAATTTCTAAACTGTACACCCACCAAATTGTGTATAGGTTCATGATTTTATTGGGTACAAGGTCTTTTAATAATAAGTCGTACAGCAAAATTACTGTTAGGATATTCTAATTAATGTACATAGGAAATGCATTATTTCAAACAATTTTTTGTGTGGGTTGTATCAAGTACAAATCTAAATTTATTCACTGTGATGCAATATGTGTACTCAATCAGTAATGAATAGTATAAAAACAAGCCCCCTCCACAAGTGACTAAGCTTGAGGTCTAACTAAAAAAATATATCAAAATTTGATGCACATTGTGAACACAGTGCAGATAGCCCATTCTGTAGCTTTGTGCTTAAACACAAAAGAAAACAAACTCAGTAAAAATAAGCCAGTAACTTTAGAGTTAGAAAAATATAAGAACATAGCATTTGTATTAAAAGCCTGTTAACACAGTTTGTTTTTTTAAACATCTTATAAATTATAGGAATTGTTTGAAATGGATGCATCATTATTTGCTGAAGAACCAAAGAGAGACATTCACAGCTTTGTTGGGAAATTCACAAGGGTAAGATGTTGTTTTTTTAACTTAGTAAAGTGGTGCACACAGTTAAATATTTTTCCTGGATAAATAAACAAAATCAATATTACTGTATTTCTTCTGTATTAAAAGCATGATGGAGAAGGAGGTGAAGATTCCTTGGGTATTGAGAACACTCTGTGGGCGAATAGTGTTCTTGCTTCAGGAACAGCCATTGGAATTGTAATTTATACTGGATCAGAAACTCGAAGTGTTATGAATAACTCAAAACCACGAAGCAAGGTAAAGATTTCTGTATTATCTACTGCCATACTCTAAGCGGTGTTATTTTTATCTCATTATTTCCACTCAACTCAAAACCACGAAGCAAGATAAAGATCTCTGTATTATCTACTGCCATACTCTAAGCGGTGTTATTTCCACACAACTCAAAACCACCAAGCAAGATAAAGATCTCTGTATTATCTACTGCCATACTCTAAGCGGTGTTATATTTATCTCATTATTTCCACACAACTCAAAACCACGAAGCAAGGTAAAGATCTTTGTATTATCTACTGCCATATTCTGAGTGGTGTTATTTTTATCTCATTATTTCCACACAACTCAAAACCACCAAGCAAGGCAAAGATCTCTGTATTATCTACTGCCATATTCTGAGTGGTGTTATTTTTATCTCATTATTTCCACAAGTTTGTTTTTGTTTTTGTTGGGTTTTTTTTTTTTGGGGGGGGGTATTTACCCCTTTGCTATTGGGCTTGAAAAATGTTTCTATTTGCAGATTTAGTATGTGATGTTCCTTGTTAAAAATATATTGCAGAATAAATAAGAAGAAAAAAAAAAGATACAAATTATTGTTCATTCTTTTCTTTTAAATGTTTTGATCATATTATCATTATATTTCTAAGGGTTAAAAACATTTTAAAACTGTTTACCAATACATATGTTAATAGACTTAATTTGGTATAATCTTTAAATATGTAGATAAAGAAAATGTGATATTTCACTCAGTTGCAGAAATCAATAAAAGTAATTTTGAAACAATTTCTGTTGATTCCAGGTTGGCTTACTAGATACAGAAATAAACCAACTTACAAAAGTTTTGTTTTGTGCAGTAATCGGACTTGCCCTTGTCATGATGTGTCTCAAGGTCAGAAACTAGATATTTATGTTAAATCATGTTTGAATATATAGTGAGTTCAATTCATTTCTATAGTTTAAAAAAAGTTTCCATGTTTAAACATCATTAACAGTTTTTGTGCATAAACAACCTAAAGAAGTTGAACAACAATGTTGATCATTTTAAACAAAATTTATGTTCTCATCAGAAATAATCATTCAAGACTTGGCACGAGTGCTGGTACAAAAAAAAAGACATTGCCATACTTCTGTTGTCTTACCAGGAAAAATTCAAATTTTCATGGCCAAATCACAATGTACATTATTTACAATACACTATTTTACCTAAATGAAATCACATTAACTTGTGTCACAAGCTACAATAGATAATTGGTCCTAATAATAAAAAAAGATGTGGCAGATTGACACAAAATTCAATGATTGTACTTTTATTGTTAGAACTGATTCTTAGTGTAAACATTTTAAATCATTTAATGTATCTACTTCTTAAATTTTTTATACACTTATTAGTATTTGCTTTTGTAGTCTTTTTTTTGTGTGTGATCAGTGGTTATAGGACAGGCAAGTTTATTGTCAACATATCTCTTATGTTGTTGTAATACTAGCAAAATTTAAATGACTTCAAATACTCATTAAAAAAAAAAAGTTTAAAATGAATATAGTGGTAAAAGTACACTGATATGTTATCGATTGTTTATCCGTTTTTATATGCAATAAAATGTTTTGTTTATTGTTGTGTTAATGATAATTTCAGTTGGTTCAAAAAAGCTTTAAGACTTAAATGGAAAAACCACTATTTTGCAAAATGTTTTTAATTAGTAAGCTTAAATTAAATCTTCGCTATTGTTGGTTGAGGTAATTAGGTGGTGAAGCCTTTAAATCTAATACTCCTAGTTTGTTTTCTTTAGAAATCACCAGCTTTTTTATTTGAGCATACATAATTTTTTTCACATTGTACATTATTTTTGTTTTCAGGGTTTTGGAGGTCCATGGTATCGGTATTTGTTTCGATTTGTCTTACTGTTTTCATACATCATACCCATCAGGTTAGTTTCGTAACTTGTTTCGTAAGCATGTCATGGTTTAACCTGCCTGGCTCATACAGAGTTAACCTGATTTCATCTGTTTGGTCCATTTTGTTCAACTTTTCATTAGAAATCTCTCTGTGATTGTATATATGATCAAGACATCATTAGAACTTCAGAAGTGTTTAGAACTGGTTCGCACCATTGTATAAATGTTTATTTTGGTTATATTTCTACTATATATCTCTATGGGCATTTTATTTGTTTTATTTCTACTTACTTAAAAAGCTTTTCTTTTGTTTATGTAATGTATGTTGAAAAATGGAGAAATAATTTAAATTAAAATTTAATACCAGGTTATTTTATATATGTAATGTTTAAAATTATGTGTTAATTATATAGTAAGTTTCTTTTAAATAATTTCATTGTAAAAGCTGTATTTTAATCTACTTTTGTTGGTGTATCTTATCTTTCTTGAGGTTAGGTAAAAGCCAAGTTAGTTGTAAGAAGCTGTGAATTACTATTATGTCTGTATTTCTTATTAGTGCCCCCCAGCGGCACAGCGGTATGACTGCAGACTTATAACGCTAGAATCTGAGTTTCAATACTCGTGGTGGGCAGAGCACGGATAGCCATTTTGTTGCTTACTTCTTAACTTTAAACAAACAAACAATTTCTTATTAGTGGAGTCCAGTCAAATTTGGTCCTTGTTACTGTTGGAGTGCTTCAGGATCAGTGATTGGACCTTTTTTATTTTTTACTTACATCATTATTGATATTGTTGTAAGCTATATTTCAGAATTAGTGAAATATTCAGTTAATAAGTTACTTAGTTCATTGTCAGTTAGTGAGTTAGACGGTGAGAATTGGTGCATCTATGATTCAGTTAGCATTGATTGATTAGTGAGGAAATTCTGCAAATAAAATTATTTGTGAATTAAACAAAAGTTAGTATTGGAATTTCTGTTGCAACATTGTTTGTGAAGTTAGTCCCACCAGTGAACTGACCTGTAGCAAACATTAATGAAGAATTAAATTAATTCATTATTATTACATGGACTGGACATGTTATTATTTTTATCAAGTAATCCAAAAGAACTTGTCAAAACGATACAACACTGGTATCAGAAATGGGATTAAGATATTCTACTTATGAGTTATTGAATGGCAGAACATGAAGCTACTGACAAACATCATCATCAGTGATGTTTGGGAGAGAGATCTAAAAGTGCCATTGGACTTTCTGTACACACATCCAGAGTATAGTCATTCATCAGAGTCTTACAGAATATGCAGAGAGACTAGGGTATGCTATTGATGTCATACATGACCTTTCCAAGGAAAGACTTAAATAAGCTGCATTGAAAAGTCACTGATTTTAATGCTGATACAACTGGATTTCACTGAGGTGACATTAAATAAGCTACATTGAAAAGTCACTGATTTTAATGCTGATACGACTGGTTTTCACTGAGGTGACATGGTATGATTGTACAATCCCAGTTGCAAGAATTCCAAAGCTAAGTAGGTGTTGGGAAGGGCTATCTATTGTACTCAAAAGAAACAATGAAGTGGCTTACAGAGTTTAGAAGAATAGGAAGTCCAAGACTGGAAGAACAATGGTAAGAGAATGGCAAACTGAGTAACTTCAGAAAAAAATTTACCAGCAGTAAGTCAATCTACTGAAGAGCCCAAGGTTCCTGTTGAGATCACTTCCAGAGGATCACCAAGAATAGAGCCAATGGTGGGTTCACTCGACTACATACCTAGAGAAAACTCCTCGAGTGACAATAGTATGTGATGATAAAGGACAAAAATTAATCCAATCTGCATACCATAACCCTCTGAGTAGAAAACCACCAAAAAAAGACTTGGTGAACTGAGACTTTAGTGTACTTTTTATTTATGTATTAGGATTGTTCAAGGGACTTCACAATCTAGGAAGAGGCAGTGTTGTAGGCTATATTTTTAATAATTTAACTGGATATTTATTTAATAGAAGCAGCTTGGTATTATGTCATGAATACACAACATCTAGAAGCTTTGTGTAGAAATTAGAATACAATATAGATATCAGAATCAGTGAATTATTCAGTTCAGAGTCAGTTAGTGACTTAGACAGTGAGAGTTAATGTATCTGTGATTCAGTGAGTTAGTTAGCATTTTTATTATTGATTGACTTGCAAGGAAATTCTGTATGTAAATTTTACATTAGTTTCAGAATTTCTGTTGAAGTTAGGCCTATCAATGAATCTAGCAAATATTATTGAAGGAATAAATCATTTTGTTATTGTTACATGGATGAAATAATACAAAAGAACATCAACCCAACAATAGAACAAATTACAATTCTTATTATTGATTGACTTGCAAGGAAATTCTGCATGTAAAATTTACATTAGTTTCAGAATTTCTGATGAAGTTAGGCCTACCAATGAATCTAGCAAATATTATTGATGAAATAAATCATTTTGTTATTGTTACATGGATGAAATAATACAAAAGAACATCAACCCAACAATAGAACAAATTACAATTCTTATTATTGATTGACTTGCAAGGAAATTCTGCATGTAAAATTTACATTAGTTTCAGAATTTCTGATGAAGTTAGGCCTACCAATGAATCTAGCAAATATTATTGATGAAATAAATCATTTTGTTATTGTTACATGGATGAAATAATACAAAAGAACATCAACCCAACAATAGAACAAATTACAATTCTTATTATTGATTGACTTGCAAGGAAATTCTGCATGTAAAATTTACATTAGTTTCAGAATTTCTGTTGAAGTTAGTCCTACCAATGAATCTAGCAAATATTATTGATGAAATAAATCATTTTGTTATTGTTACATGGATGAAATAATACAAAAGAACATCAACCCAACAATAGAACAAATTACATTTTTGTTATTGTTACATGGATGAAATAATACAAAAGAACATCAACCCAACAATAGAACAAATTACAATGATAGTGATTGGAACATAATTAGTAAAGTTACAGATGGCATTACAATTCTTGAGTATTTATAACTGTACTGAAGGTACTGCAAAATGATTTAGATCATCAGTTGGATAGTTGGACACATGTTTGGCATATAAAAGATCTCAAGTTATCAAGACAGTGCTCTGTCAATATCAGAAAAAACTAATATAATTTTAGTGTGTGTTTGTGGACATTGATTGCAAGTGAAGGGAGGTAATTGTCTCTACACAAATCTTTAGTTAGGCCTTACGTGAAACACTGTGTAGGTTAGGTTAGGATCATCAGTTGGGTAGTTGGACACATGTTTGGCATATAAAAGATCTCAAGTTATCAAGACAGTGGTCTGTCAATATCAGAAAAAAACTAATATAATTTTAGTGTGTGTTTGTGGACATTGGTTGCAAGTGAAAAGAGGTAATTGTCTCTACACAAATCTCTAGCTAGGCCTTACGTGAAACACTGTAGTCTCCTTATCTGTAAAAGGATATCGACTTATTGGAAAAAGGTTTAGAGAAATACAGCTTGGTTTTCTTATCTAATAAAGGATATTGACTTATTATAAAGAGCTCAGAGGAGGATTACTAGAATGGTTCTGAGGATGGAAAGTTTATATTTTGAAGATAAATTAACATTTTTTATTTTCTCCTGAAAAAAAAAAAGAGTAAGAGTGTTGAAGTTTGCAGGGTTATCAATATAATAAAAGCTTCTGATTTTGTTATTTATTTTGAAGATGAGAGCATATAAGTATAGGGTTTGGAAAAAGACTAGATAGGCTCCAGTTAAGTCGGTTTAATTTTTGTAACTGTGTGATTGGCCTATGGAATGAGTTGCCATCAGTGGTAGTAGATGTTTCTACTTTACAAGAGTTTGAGGAATCAATGATTTCCTGAAAGTAAAGGATGCGTTTAAATTTTTACTTTTCTTAAGGGTGGGTGTGAAGCATCAATCTTGAAGAACAAAATCGTCTCTTGTTGTCTTACGTGTGTCCTTTTCACAGCTCGGCATGGCCAGGTGGTTATGGCGCTCAACTCACAATCTGATGGTCTCAAGTTTGATTTCCCGTCCCACCAAACATGCTCTCCCTTTCAGCCGTGGGGGCATTATATTGTGACAGTCAATCCCACTATTTGTTGGTAAAAGAGTATCCCGAGAGTTGGTGGTAAGTGGTGATGACAAGCTGCCTTCCCTCTAGTCTTACACTGCTAAATTAGGGATAGCTAGCACAGATAGCCCTCGTGTAGCTTTACACAAAATTCAAAAACAAACAAACATATATCATTTTCAGTGTTATTGATATAAGCTTATACCATGCCTGAGTCTTAAGTTTCATTCCAAATTGTTTCAGCTTGCGGGTCAATCTAGACATGGGTAAAATGGTCTATTCTTGGATGATTCAACAAGATAAAGAAATTCCTGGAACTGTTGTTCGTAGCACTACCATACCAGAAGACTTGGGAAGGATTGTTTATCTTCTTTCTGACAAAACTGGAACACTTACCCAGAATGAAATGGTAAACATGACTTTTGTGTAATAACGACAGTCAGAAACTAATATCATAAAGTTTACTTCTATGGAAGAGGAAAAATAGAAAACGGCAAATATATGTATATATGTGTGAGTGTTATGATTTGATATAATTACGTGACACATTTGAATGCTTTATGAAATCATATATCAGTTTTAAGTTTCAGTACAATATTTTTGTTAAAAGAATTCAATGTGATTTAAGTTTTTGTCATTTCTGATATTTTAATCTTAACGTTTTAATGTTACCGTAGTGTATTGACACTATGATATCTGTAACGCATTGCTCTGTTCACATCTAAATACAAAAGAAAGAAATAGTCAACTGTATTCACTACACAGACATCAGTTATGTAAGTTTGCAAAGAATGGTTTATCTATGACATTTAACCGGTATCTGCTATTGTCTTTCAGGAATGTAGCCAAACGTTTTGAGGCTTGATTTCTGTATGTTTATCCTGGGAAAACCCAAATCTGTAAATATTAATATTTAGTGCTATAACATGAGCTGTAAGCTTATGCAGAAAGTCTTATTCTTTCTTTATCTCAGAAAAATTAGTTGTATTGAATAGTGGAGAAAAGAAACTGCGTGTCTGTAGTTTTTGTTTCATATCTTTGCTGGAAATTTTATTCCATATATATATGAGGAGACATTGTTTTTTTTGTAGGTTAAGTAAAGATATCTGTTTATGACTTTTTTACAGATTCATTATAAATATTGTGTAATGAAAAGGCCTATATATGTGTAAAAGAAATGAGGATAAACTTCTTCTGTTAATTTTGCTTATTTTTATTAAAAGTTCATTGTAAAATGTTAAAATGTTTTATTAATACTTACTGTTCCTTCTGTACTTTTCTTTTTAAATTCTTTTTAAAACTCAATTTGACAGAGTCAAAAAATATAAAGTGTGTTATTTAGTTGTCAATTAATTTAAAACAGTAATAAGAAATAATGGTGATATTTTGATTACTTGGCTAATTGGAACAATTGACAACAGTAATGACAGAAGAAGGAGAAAACTTAATTTCAGTTTCTTGATTATTTTCGTGACATTAAACAATTTAATCATTATTTTGATTGATAATTTTACAAGATAATATGTGATGTAATCAGTGCTCATCCATAATTGATTAATCAAGTTAATTACCTAGATCTAATTAGAATAATGATGGATGTGCTTGATCTTAGAATAATGATGGATAAGCATGATGGTAGAATAATGATGGATGAATTTAATGTTAGAATAATGATGGATGAATTTTATGTTAGAATAGTGATGGATATGCTTGATCTTAGAATAATGATGGATGTGCTTGATCTTAGAATAATGATGGATGAATTTAATGCTAGAATAATGATGGATAAGATGGATGTTAGAATAATGATGGATGAATTTAATGTTAGAATAATGATGGATGAGCGTGATGTTAGAATAATGATGGATGAGCATGATGTTAGAATAATGATGGATGAGCATGATGTTAGAATAATGATGGATGAGCATGATGTTAGAATAGTGATGGATGTGCTTGATCTTAGAATAATGATGGATTAGCTTCATGTTAGAATAATGATGGATTAGCTTCATGTTAGAATAATGATGGATTAGCTTTGTGTTACTCGTGTTAGAAGAATAAATGGTGGATCGGCTTATAATATTGGGATTTGATTAATATTTTTACTTTCAGATTTTTAAAAGGTTGCACCTTGGAACCGTTTCTTTCAGTCCAGACACATTTGATGAGGTTAGTTACAATAAACAATGAATTTATAGCACAGGTAGTTTTTATTTCATTTTAAAGAAATAGATGGTTTTAATATGAGTGAGGGCTATAGTGCAGAGTTTGTAGACTCATTCTACAATCAATTCTATGAAATATATAAATATATGTAATTATAAATGGACACGAGTTATGAAAATGATGAAATGACTTCAGTATGGACAAATCGATAGATTGAAGTGATTATGGATCACTCGTGTTTACTAAAACAAAAGTTTTTATATTAATATTTTGTTTACCTGGAAAATTTTAATAAGTTTAACACACCTTAAAAATTTTAACTTCATTCTTAGAATTTAACTTGCAGGTGGCAGCACATCTACGAACATCATTTGCCCCTAAACCTTCGACAGGAACAACGCCCACACGGGGAACCACTCATTCCAAAATGAGGCGAACTGTTGTGACACGTGTACAAGAAGCAGTGACAGCTCTAGCTCTGTGTCACAATGTAACTCCAGTGTATGAGAATGGTAACATTGCTGAGATTTCTGATGGTGGTGAAGGTGAGGAGGATGGAGATACCGAAGCTGACCAACAGAGCAAGCAGTGCTATGTTTACCAAGCTTCTAGTCCTGATGAGGTAAATTAACCGTGTGTGCTTGAATAGGTTAAATTGAGCATTTCAGGACTTTTTTACGGTTACATTCAAAATTTAATTGCATAACCTTAATATCAACATACGTCAGTAAACTTTGCATCAAAATGTAGTTAATAATTAAAATTTTTATATTAGCTAAGTTTGAATTTTTAATTTAAAAAGGAAATATTTAAAAAAAACTCAATCTTCATTTTTAATTCAGACATATCTGCACTCTGAATTCTTTCCTATAGGTTTTAAATCTTTCTTTATATGACTATGAAAGGGTACAGCCAATTAGAAACATAAATTACACATAATGACAAGCAAGAATATATATAATTTGAACCTCGTATGTTTCTTTATTAAATAACTTTGTCAAACCCACCACAGAAGTCCATCCTATCTTTCCTATGCTTCGAGGCACTTGTCTACCCATATTTTTTTATCTAATTGACATGTTTATAACAAATAGAAAAAGCATTTTCTCCTCTACAAACATTTACTGCAATTATTTTATTTTGGTGTAGTCAGTTAGCCTAAGACTCTTTGTCTGTAATCATTATTGTTTAACTTTGAGCAGCTAACAGAAAATTTTAACCTATTTATAACTTAGATAGGAAGCTAGTTAAATCAAACTACTTTTGAGACATTCTATCCTAGTTTTTAATATATTTATTTTGTGTTTTAAAATCCATATTTGAAAGCTACTTGGATTTTATTTCAATGATTAAACTGAAGAAAAAAGTGAGTCCTAGTTCAGTTACATTTGTGAGTGCAGAGATCAAGTGGGTCACATATTTTACTCATGATGGCTAATGGTCTTCTGCTGTGATTTATTGCTTTTGAATGAGGATAGTGGTCCAAAGTACAAGCAATAAGATCAGAAAATTAACAGAAAATACTTGTGAAAGTGTTAACAATTGGAATTGTGAATGTAAAAAAACTTAAAAATGTCACAAAATGGTACATTCAAAGATGAAACAAAAGAGGAATTATTAATTTAATTTCATATTTCTTCAACTTTACGTTTCACTGATGGTTTTACTACAATTAGTAGCATTTAGGGTAGAGAACATAATAGATAAAATATATAAAAAGATATTTATTTATGAAGTTCTAGAGATTATGTAAGTGAAATATAAAAAGAATGAGATGAAAATAAATATTTTTATTCTTGAAATGAAAATCACCTTTCACTCAGACTAACTCAATAAAGGCTTTGAAAATTATCAAACACAACTTTAGTAAAAAATATTTTATTAAGAAATCTGATTTTTTGTACATCAGACTTGTAATGTTTACTAAAAGCTTGCAAAATTTCATGAAGGTACTCATAAATTCAAAATTGGAGTAAACATTACTAGGTATAACTTTATAGATACGGTTAATGGCACATGTTGCAACCCAGTTACCATTCCTCTAGTCAACAGTTCAAAATGAGTGACAGTGGCAGATGACCTTAGTAGCTTTGCCATTGCAAAGATGGGTTGATGAAGTTTGGTGCAAATATTTCAGTTACTTGTTTATTTGGAATAATCAAAAATATTAATCAGTGGAAACCCTAATTTCAATTACTTGATTGTATTTGTGACATTTGATTTAATCATAATTGTGACTAATTGATTGGTTTACTTCACACTAATCTATGTAATCACTTATATCAATTAATTGATTAAATTGCTCAGCTCTAGATTCTAGAGTTAAAAAGATTAACCCTGTGGAAATGACATTTTTTACAGTTACATTTAATTTTTAATTAAACTAATTTATTATCAAGGTATTTTAATAAACTTAGCATCAAAATGTAATTTGAATTTTTATTTTATCTAAGTTTTAATTTTTTTTAAATTCCAAAGGAAGTATTTAAATAAATTCTTAGTCTCTGTCACGTGATGTAATTGTTCTCTATATTTTATACTTTATTTCTAACTAAGTTAAAAATACACACCATAGATACTGATGAGTCAGAATAAAAACTTAGAATCTCAAATCTTCTTGCTTTACTGAGATATAAACAAAAATGACACATCCACATGACATGCACCTTCTGTGCCAATTATGTCTTTCAAAAAATGTTAGCAATACTCTCTGACTTTGCTACTGGAGTATTTATAACTAATAGAAAGAGCAGTTTCTTGTATGAGTTGTATTGTTTTGGTGCCTGTACTTGGATATTTAGTCTTAGTTTCATTGTTCGCTATCATGGTGTTCAACCCAAGCAGCTAACAGAATTTTTTAAACTTATTTATAGCTCAGTTAGAAAGCCAATTAAATTATAATAGTTTTAGGACATAGTTTTATGGTGCATACTTGAAATAAACACAAATAATTTTGTGAAAAACCAGCATTGTTACAAAAAAATGGAGCTTTAGTGTGCTTTGTCCATCGTTCGCAAAAGGCTTAATTCCAGATGTAAGTACTATATTTCTTGTTTTTCATGTATATTTTTTATTTATTGTTATAAAAATAACTAAAATGTAAAAATTAGAAATTTATTAGGTTAGAAAAGAAAAATTTATATAAATAAATTAAATAAAAATTTGTCATGAAGCTATATCCTAGCACACACACACACATCTCGTGGCCATGCTGTGATAGATGGTTATTTACCTTATCTGTTACTGTTTAAGTACATTTATAATTCAATAAAACTAAATGAAAAAAAATATGAAAAGCTAGTTAGTATCTTATGCTGTTAGAATAGATAAGTGTGATTGTTTCTTACGATATCCGGTAATTCTTGGAAGAAAAAGGGGTAATTTTGATTTATTTCATATCTTTTAACTTTTCGTTTTACCCTCAATTACAGATTCTGCTACAGTTAACGTTAGGGTGAGAAAATAACATATATAAAGTTTTATTTAAAAAATCTTTTGATCAATTAGGTAAAGACTTCAGAAATTCACAGACATATCTTTAGTATAAATACTTCATTAAAGAAATGTATTTTTTGCATACAACAACCTTGTAATGTTTACCAAAAGCTTGCCAAATCTTGTGAAGGTACAAACATTACATTCAAAAGGTAAAGTATATATATATAGTTGATTGTTAGATAATGATTACAAAGTTGGTCAAAGTGATTGAGACTGAATCTATTGAATTAAACTACACACTATTAATTTTACAGAACTTTCACTTCATGATAAAAAGAAACCATAGCTGAGATTGTGAACAGGTTAATATTTAAAGGTATTATAATTTTTGTTGCATATTGATCCTGAACGTTTTCTGAAACTATTGTTTGGACAGTGATCTTTTTTCTTGTATTTCTGATTTACAGTTATTTTCAGATTTTAATTTTGTAGCTGATAAGCTGAATTTTTTTTAAATTTTTACCTCCTTTGTGACTCTTTGTATTGCATCTTTCTCAGGTTGCTCTTGTTTCTTGGACAGAAAGCGTGGGGCTGACACTTGTGTATCGTGACCTTACAAGTATGAAAGTTAAGGCACCTCAAGGCCAGCTTTTAACCTATACCATTTTACAGATCTTTCCATTCACACCAGAATCTAAAAGAATGGGTATTATTGTCAAGGTAGAATTGCTGGTTATTTGTAATAATTAAATGTTTTGTATGTAATTTCGAAGTAGGTAAATCTAAGTTAAACTCCATGGTGTTTTTTCTCTTTCTCGTTTGTTAATAACGAAACTTAAACTATGTTTTGATTAACCTTTATCATGACCAATGAGCACTTTTCAGTAAAAATTAGTTAACTCTGTTTCAACAATGTTTAAGTCAAAACTATTTTATAATCCGTATTTGTCATTTTGTTACATCAGTTTTACATAACTTACAAACAAAACTGAAAAAAAAAAGTTTAAACTTTCATTTCTCTGGATCCCAGAGGAGTCTCACTTGTAAACAATGAATTTTCTGTTGTTTTTTCTTTATATTTCTGCCCATGCCAAAGTTTACAAGATACTAATTGATTAAATTTCCCAGCTCTAGCCAAAGTACAGAGGCATGTTTGGTAAGAAACTATCATACTTTGAGAATATAATTACTCCTGTATTGAGATTTTTCTTCTGTGTTAATGGTTTTATTGCTACAACCCTTTGTTGCCACCTTTTTATGATGTCACAACATTTGATGTGAACAATTACTAATAAAACCCAAGTTAGTTTAAAAAAAGAACTAGGTGACAATAGGGAGAGTAAGACTTTGTGTCAGTTCATAAAGCTATGAGGCTTGGTGTGTGTGTGTGTTTGTGGAAGAGGTTGGAACTAATCGGAAGTAATTGATTAACAAATCCATTGCTTTAATCGATCAACAAAAAACATTAATCGTCCATCTCTACCCACCACAAAAAAAGGTTAAAATCTCTATGATTTTAAGAACATATAGAATATGTAAACCACCAACATTACAATGAGAACTTTGGAACATTTGGTCTGTTCTGAAAGCATTATGATACCCTGTAAATTTTATTAAAAATGCAATATGTTAATAAATATCCATTGACTTCAGACACTGGCTTGAATCATAAAAGGACATTCTGATGAATTAAGAAAATTTTAAGACAAGTAAGTATTTTTAAGAATTTATTAAAACAGAATAGAAAATTCAAGACAAATCATCTGGATTTTTTAAGCCTAAACTAGATACAGTATATTTCTAATTACTTTATAAGTTTCGTACAATTTGGTGATGTATTTATACTGTGAGAAGGAAAACAAAATTGGATATCAGTGATACCTCTCTAGTCCAAAAGGTGGTTAACATACATTAATGTTTGAATTTGTAATTCTTAAAGATTTTGTTGGTTCTTGATAATGAATTTTATGTAACTAGTAACTTATTTTCAATCAAACTATATACATAAAGATAGAAACTAGACTCCACGTGAGGTTAAACCAAAAATGTTTTTCTAATACACGAGTCTAGCAAGAATCTAGTGGAGAAATTGTCTTCTTCATGAAAGGAGCCGACAGTGTCATGGCTTCTGTCGTCCAGTACAATGATTGGCTTGATGAAGAGGTATTTGATTGAGCTTATCAGTGTTCTGTTGATTATTTTTATTATATTTTCTTTGTTAAAAAATATATTGTTTTTTTTTTCCTTTTTCCATGTTTGACTTTGTTTTCCTTTTGGTTTCTCTCCACAATAATAATTCTCGTGATTAATACTTATAAAACTTACTTAGCGTAGATGGGATATTTGTTTATAAGCATTAAACCTAGCCTTGATACTTTTTAAAAACAAGAAATGTAAGAACAAATATTTTGTTGTTTCTGTATTTTAGGCCCGAGGCAAACATTCTGTAATTTTTGTTGGAGGAAAAACACATCATAAAATTGTAACTTTAGTCGTATTGTTAGTGCATGCATTAATACAAAAACAAAATTAGTACTTTCCATTGAAAAGGATATACAAATGAAAGGAGGTATCGTTTTGGAACTAAAACTTGTTCTATTAGTAGGTTACAAAATTTCTTCTTTTTTTTTTCAATAAAATACAAGTTATGCATGTATTCTAAAGATTTTCTTCTCTCAAATTTTGTTTTATAAGAAACTTTTTTCTACAAGTGAGTCATGAATGAAAAAACAACTTGGTTTAAAATGTCTTCAAAAATGGATATATCCTAAGTGAATGATCATGCCCCACGAAATAACTACTTCCCATTGGCTGATTGATCCTTACACCCACTAATGTGTGTGTGTTAAGTATACCTTCTTTCTGCTTTACACCTGAAAATGTTGAGTTAGCTCAAAAAAACATCATGCTCCTTATTTATAAAAAGTCACAAAAATATTATGATACTTTCTTGTTTCTAGTTCATTACAGTTATGTTTTATGTTGAAAAGTATAATGCATTCAGTGCTAGTTTTGACCAATAACTCAAAGTACTGTACATATGTTCAATAGTTTTTGTTTATAGCAGTTTGTTCAAGTGAAATTTCTGTATAAAAATGAATGGCTTTTGTTATTGTTTAACACAATTAATTAATTGGTGTAATGTTATGAAAACATTTTAGACTTCTATTAAGAAATTTATTGAAACTTTTTATGAAGGGCCTTTAACAGAGAAGTCTAGATGAAAATACTTTATGCATTTTACACTCTTGTGGGGATTCCATGTCAGGGTGAACATAATCATCATGTTTTCTATTCTAATAAAAGATTTAGCACACAGGATCACACACAAAACATGCGACAAACTTCAAAAGAAAAAGAATAGTCAATCATTTGATAGTGCTTATTATTGTTTTAATTAGATTATCCATCAAATACTTTATACATTTTACACTCTTGTGAGGATTCCATGTCAGGGTGAACATAATCATCATGTTTTCTATTCTAATAAAAGATTTAGCACACAGGATCACACACAAAACATGCGACAAACTTCAAAAGAAAAAGAATAGTCAATCATTTGATAGTGCTTATTATTGTTCTACATAGTGTTTTAATTAGATTATCCATCAACTGTCGTTATTTAGAAATACAGAGGTTAATGATCTTGCTTGTATTTAGAATAGTTTTATACTAAATATTACTCGATACTCTCATATTCCGATTACACAGGTCTGCAATGGTTTTATTGTCTTGAAATTTTTACATGTTCTTCAGTAATTCCTGTACGCTGAATCCAAA